ATATATGACCCACTTGTCTCTTTCACAGTGTTTCTTGGTTCTTGTGTCCAAGCCGGCTGTAAGTTTACAGCCCGCTTCTCCTATCTCTCCTCTCTTTTCTCCTCAACTCAGCATTTAGCCGGCTTATAGCCTACTATTATACTTGCTCTAAATTATTTTTCATTTGTAAATATGCTTTCGTTTTTTTTCTTATCAGCTAAACGATGGGGCTGAAAGTGTACATGTTGTGAAAAAAAAATAAGAAAGAGCTAAAAACCTCATGTTAGGAAGGCGAAGCAGGAAGTATTCCTTAACTAGCCAGGACCCCGCGCGTTGCCGCGGGCATATTAAATGACCAAATCAGAAGCTATTTGCATCTTTTGTCAACAATTGGAATATTCTTTATGAATATAATGAAAAAATTGTATCAATTGTTCCACAGATTTATATATACATGACCTCTGTTTGCTTATTTACCTTGATGAGCTAAATAAAGTATACGTCATATATCTGAATTGGGAATAAATCAATCATCGTGATATAAGGAAGCATTGAAATCGTGAGAGAATCATTTCCTCCATTAGCTAAACAAAAATTTGTGAGAACCATTTCCTCCATTAGCTACTTAAAGAGGCCAACAGAGCATGCATACTCAATTCACTTCAAATACACCGAAATAGGCACTGGCAGAATATGGAGGAACAAATCCCTTGTACTTGGTAGCACCAATAGAAAAATCTCTTCATAGAAGTAGCACCAGCAGCTTGACGAAATATTATTATCCTACTCATTAAGTTGAGCTGAAATAATAGACATGAAGGCTATTAAAATACAATATATCCAAACAATTACCTGAGTAGGGAGAGCAGTATAATAGTGTCCCTCTGATATATAGATTTTAAGCAAAAAAAAATTAGAAGCCCATATACAGTAAGCAAATGGAATGAAAGATGCATAAGTATGATATATAGAATTTAAATCAATCATAAAACCATTAGAAGCTCATAGGATTAAAAATAAAGCAGAAATGTTATATGGCTCAGGGGAACTTGAACAAAGTTGGCAGATTATTTCTTGACTTAGGCAAGCACTGCACTTGGCATTAAGTTAAATAATGTTAATATAATCTTATCAACTATAATATCTTCGTCTAAATAATATCCTCATCTAAATAATCTTGTATAAAAAGACAAATAAGAATAGCTAATCAAGATGTTTGGTTAAAAAAATAACTAAAACAATAATATGAGCATCTCTAGTGTAGAAACATGTAAAGGGTGAAGGATATGTAACAATGTATGATACCTTCGAAGGGCTAGTGAACAATAATTGTATGCATCACCCACAAAAAAGGGTCTATAATTGTCAATGTTATGATAGGATACTTTGCATGGAAATTGAAGAGCACATCAACAACATATGCATTTGGAATATAAGAACACATGAAGATAACTCTGATGGAGTTGACATATGTATATATGACATATATCTTATGTAGCCAATAACCTAGGTAAGTTAGAAATGGTAGGTAGGCACTAAAAGAGAGGATTTTGACATAAAACTGATAAATCTCTTCACTAACAAATGCAACATCTCGTTATTCATATACCTTTTGCTTGCCTAATTCATGCTGCAGGAATTTTTATGGTGTGCTCTAGGCATCAATGGGCCAGAAGCTTAGCATATGAAAACATGTCTTAACATAAGCAAATAATATACTTATCCAACAATTGTTCATAATTAGGCAGTGGCTACAATACTTTGTTTGGGGAGAAACTGAGTTGAAGACTGAGAAGTTGTCACTGAATATCGAGTCATAGCTCTTCTCTTTAATCCGTCAATATAGCACACCCAAAATACAGCAGGACCAATTGTTTCTTTTACTACACCACAGCACAAACTTACATGAAGAGGCAAAAATTAATCTACATGGTAGGTGTACACAGTGTATAAAGTGGCATACTTGTGATGCGTCGTGCACAACAAAATAGAGAGGAATAGAGGAGCAAAAACCTTGCAAGGAATCCAATACAATTTCTTGCACAACATTTAGCATCATCATGTTATGTAATCCATCTTCTCTACAATGAGAATAAATGTTAGAAAAAAATGGTATGGAGCTGAAAACAGGACCCCATATCATAGATCAGTTAAGACAACAAAAGGGTAAAAAGCTTTGAGAAAAAAGATAAGAAACTCAAGGCAGGCCATGACAAACCATGTATTACGAATATGCAATCCTCTACATAAGATAATCTGGTTGGTAGGCATTCAGTTTCCCCCCATAACTGAAGCTACAAAACAACACCCAAATACTCACATTCAGTCAAGGTTAATTAACTAATATGGTAATAAAGTAGCAAAAGTAAAACAATAGAAGCAATAATGAACAAAGAAGCTGCGCAGCAACAATAGTTTGTCACATGATATGCACCGTGCATAGCAAAATAGGGGGAATTGCAGGGGGCAAAGGAGGGAATCTGAAAAGAGATGAAAGATAAATTTCTAGACAACAAATATTAGCCAGTCAATCTAGCAGCATCATGTTATGTAATTCGTCTTCCCTGCAATGAGAATAAATCTTCAAAAAAAAAGCTCTCTCTGTATGGCTCTATCGGACAGGGAAGCATATAACAGAGTATATCAATGGTACAGAGCAGAACATAAAGGGATGAGGAGGCAAGAAAAAGTGTAACCATGGTAAGAAGATATGCAGAGAGAGGCAAAGAACATTTACTGTTGTCTGGTAACCCTAGCGAAGTCAACTAGTCCACCCTCGCCGGCTGCCGCCAATAGCCAGGAAGGAGCGACCAGCCACCGCCACAAGAACCTCACAGTGAAGATAGAACTCCATGGCACTGGATTATGTCTCAACTCCATGATTCTCTCTCTCTCTCAAGCTTCGCTAATTCTAGATGCAAACCACGAAGCAGAAGGGGGAAGAGAGAGAGTGAGAGAGATAGAGAGAGAGAGAGAGGGACTCAGCGAACAGTGGGCGCGTCGGGGAGAGGGAGATCGAAACCCTAGCTAGGGTTTGCATGCGGCGGAGCAGGAGCTGGGGATGTCGACGCCGGCGAGGAAGCGGCCGACTCACCAGATCAAACAGTTGTGGACCGGATCGGCCACCTCACCATCGGCTGACTCACCAAATCAAGCTCTGCTTCACTGGATCAACCTCCTCGCTGTCCTGCTGGATGGAGCACCTCGGAAGGCAAGAGGTGGCGGCGTATGGGTGGCAAGAGGGAGATCGAGAGGAGGAAGGGAAGAAAAGGCGGTGGTCGGTTGCCGGCGTCAGGCGCCTTTGGGAGGCAGAGGGTTCTCGATCTCTCTCTCCTCAACTGGAATGAGTGACGGCGGAGATCGCGAGTCGGGGGGGTTAGGGCGACGGGATGGGTAGAGAGAATGGACGTGGACGGGCGGATGGAAGTGGCATGAGAAGATCGGATGGCGCATGCATGGCGAGGGACTGAGTACTGTAGCACATTTCCTGTCCTGTGGCTGATCGTAACACTGCTGGTAGTGGGTCACAGAAACTAAAGATCTAATATGATGAGAACATCTCACATTATCACCACCATGATGCCAGATGGCGCCCTCGGCCCACACTACATATGTTGGCGATCAAATCAGACCAAAATGGTGTGTACTTTGGTGCTGCATACTGCACCTATGCAATTCTGGGCTCTCTGGGCCCTGCAATTATCCCCCATTTTTTGCTGCTGTACTGGCCTGCAGCCATGTGCACGGGGATGCAGAGTGTTCTCCCAACCGCCAGCAGAAAAGATGTCCGGGACTTGTCTCTTCCGCCGCCCCCCCTCTCCTGAGCCCTCCCCCCCCCCCCCCCCCGGCCCTCCTCTGCATGCAGTTGCAGACATGCAGCAAATTGCCAAACACAAATCCCAGACAAAACCATATGTATATTCTCACCGAAATCTCACGATATATGGGCATGTTCCGCTGCACTCATACGCAGTGGCGGACGCAGCTTTAAAATATAGATGGGGCGGAGAACAGAGATGTTCACTCGATAAGAGCAATCGAATACAACACATATTGTATTAATAGTTCATTCGCATAATTGCCTCAATTTGCTGGGTGTTCACACCTTGTTATACCTAATATTAATGGCCCATGACAACTATAAGAAGGTAAGGAGGTCTGGAGGGTGTGGGGCGATACGAATCGTAGTTGAGTCGATCGACCCACTCTACCTAATGGGTAGATCCGCCCCTGCTCATACGGCTGCGATGCAGCCGCACGGAACAGTGCTTTGTATAAGCAACTGTGGCAGCAGCATTGTGTTGTAGCTGCTATACCCTGCAACCGAACAGGCCGTATGTATATATAGGGTGTGTTCGCTGGTTCTGGTTCTCATCTGGAACAGTGTTCACGAAAAACAGAACGATTCATTAGCGCATGATTAATTAAATATTAGCTATTTTTTTTCAAAAATAGATCAATATGTTTTTTAAGCAACTTTCGTATAAAAACTTTTTACAAAAAACACACTGTTTAGCAGTTTGAAAAACGTGCGCGTGGAAAACAAGGGAGATGGGTTGGGGTAAGAACACAGCCATAGTATACAAACAAGAACTCGTCCAGCGGGAGAAGGAGCAGAAGAATCTTAGCCAAAACCAGTCGAGAAAAAACACGAATCCTAACCCCTTAACACGTGATCCGTCTCTTATATATGGTTTAGAGACTGACCCATGCTTTGAGGTCTCTCTCTATATACACGAGGGTTTGTTTATTATAAGTCATTTTTTTTACTATAAGGAGTCTGTGTGTCCATACATCGTTTCTTAATTAGCAAGCGTTTAATTTTTTTAATAAAACTAACCTTGAAAAATTGCTCCTAAGGGGAATTGAATCTAAAAAATTGATAGATGCTATTCACTAGGCTAGAAAAATCGTACCTCTAGAACCTAGAAAACTCGCTCCTAACATAACGCTGCAACCACTGGGCTATTACTATAGTACATGTACAAAAGAAACACACAGCACATGCACGCAGACGCAGCTAACTTGCAGACATTATCAGCCAAGGGTTTATTTGATGCTGGGACATCATCAACAGGAGGCCACATGCATTCATGGTAGATAGGTAAACACTAATACTATATGACACATACTTTTGGCCGGTGGCCACTTGATCAACTCAACTGGTCACAGGTGCAACACTACGTACCAATCCTAATTAATTCACTCGGCACCTGCAAATTCTGCATGCAGATTACTACAGGCTACGGCAGTAATCTGATGCTGAATTAATTCCTTATCCCCTTTCTGGCGAAACATGGTGACCACTGCATCTTGCATGCTCTAGCTACAACCTCATCTCTGTCACTACAGCTAGCTTGCACATTGCATGCCCAGTTCATCATCATCAATCACACTTTGCGTCTTTGGTTTGCAATTCGATCCCCTTCTGCATGAACTACTACTGTCGATCGATCGTCGATCGATAGTTAATTTGATTGGATGATCAGTCGTAGGCGGAGCTGAAGAAGACGTTGACGGTGCAGCCGGCGAGGATCTGGAGGACGCCGGAGTTGGAGCGGGAGACGCAGCGGGGGGACTTGAACTGGCTGACGGGGGCGCCGAGGGAGAGGTAGTGGCGGAGAACCTTCTGGAAGGTTCCACGCTGCAGCACGCGGAGCTCGAGCGGGGCGATGGCGCCGGACTTCCTCGACCCGACGTAGCCGGCGTCGGCGAACGCCCTGTCCAGCTCGTCGCAGCAGGCCTGCATCACGTCGCCGTCGACGGCGGCGGGGTCGGCGGCGTTGAGCTCCAGGAAGACGACGTAGTGGCCCGGGTCCGACGACACGTCGGCGTGGCTGGTGTAGTCCACCACCTCCAGCTTCTCGCCGGCGAGCACCGCCCTCGCCGCCGCGTCCACCGCCAGCTGCAGGTCCTGCTCGCTGTTCTTGTCGATGTTGATCGACAGCATCAGGTTCCTCCTGCACACGAACTTGAGCTTGGGCGTCGCGTTGTAGAACCCTGCCACCTTCACCACGTCCCCCAGCCGATACCGGTAAAGCCCTGCATATACATACATACATACAAAAATGTCAGAACTATGGTAAAAAAGACGTTCCTCGGTGATATCATCGATGAAATGCGCTACAGGACGGTATTCCGTTCGAACATAATGATACCTTAAAGGTTTCATCTGATACCTGGTACGTATCATTTGATAGGGTATCATCCCTTCCGAACGAGATACCGTCCTATAGTATTCCAGCATTCCCCTTTCAAAGAGGTTGTGTGCGTGTTAATTATGCATACTCCCTCTAGTCAATAATACTTGAAGTTCAGAGTACTAATTCTAGTACTCCCAAAACATCAAAATGTTTCTGACTGAAGGGAGTATAATCTTAACCGAGAATCCACTTAAAATCATATCATGAATAATCCAATAATGCGTACCATTGCATTCGCTAATTAAGAGTTTAAGACCAACTTTCACAGATTAAGACATCATTATTATTTGTTCAGATTCCTGAATAATCCTGAACAGATCAAGGATACACTCAACAAAGTACGTAAACAGGGACAAATTAAGGTAGCTAAGCTTCAAACATCATATGATTAAGATGGTACGTAGGGTAGCATGCATATATATAAACATAATTAAATCAATCATGCCAAGGAAGAAGAAAAGTATACTAGACATAATAGATTGGCCCCCATCTCTGCTCTAGCTAGGTAGCTGAGCTGAGCTTGTACATGTTCTTGCATATGTACCTGCTTCCCACTTGGGCTGTGCCGGGTAGCCTGTCACCGATTCTTATCCGATTACCTGACATGACCACAGAAGAATTCTTCGTCGTCGTCTCCTCTTTCGTTTGTGGCGCCCATACAGCCATCCATGGAAGTCATGAGTCTAAACGCGACGACAAACCCTAGCTAATAAGCTATCAATTTGAATAATGAAAAATTAATGGGGTGAAAACGCTGAGCTGATCAATTACCTTGTTGGTGAAGAGGTAAGAAAATTAAGCCTGAATATTCAGATACTGGAATGTACTACCAGAAAGAGATGGCCTGGCCAGTGTTAGTGTTTGTTTGTTTGTTCATTCGTTCGTTTGATAGTTGCAGCTGTTGCATTTGGATGTGAATGCATGAGACTTGGCTAATGGTCAAGGTTAACTACGGTTAAGGCTGGGGAGAGTTGAGTACGGATTCCGAGCTGCTGATAAGAGACAAGAGCAAACGTACCAAAGGTCATAGGACAGATCGTCATTAGGAGGTCTTTTTCTGTTTCGAAGGGATTGTTTAATTTTGGTCTGTCAGTTTCACACCTGATCCATGGTCTACAACTATCATCATTGCTCCCATTTGTAAATTAAAGCTACTAGAAGAGGTGGTAGGAGTCGTACAAGTACTATTAGTTCTCAAAGTCATATGAATAATTAAGATGTTTTGTTTTATCAGGATGAATTGAATGAGTCGTCCTTGGACTTGATTTGAAGCATTCAACAGAGTCGGAACTAAGGCTGATGGTGTAGGAGTAACTCTGTAAGTTTCAGATAAGTGTTCAGTACAAGTTACCTTGTGAAAGCAACACAGCAATTATTGATCTACATGTATAAAAGAATTAACCTATCATAGCAAATTAGCTTCTTTTTTTCAATGTTTTGTCCATTCCATTGGCTAGTTTTCATTGATCTTCAGTCAGGTGTGCACACACATAATATGTTTGAGAAAATTATGCAAGTGAAGGGCCACTTGGGTTAATTAATTAATTCATCCAAATCCCTACATCTCCAAGGTATGTTCATACCCTTGTCTCCAAGCAACTCAAAAGTCCTCAACCAACCAGTGCCTGAGCCAGGGTCAAAATCTTATCTTTAATAGTTGTTTGATGACCTAATCATCTTCCGAACCAAAGACTAAAAGTCTAAAACTAATCTACAGACAACCAAACAGAAAAGGCAATGGCAACTTCAGATCTCCTGAAGTTTTCCCATTGGTCATGGTCCTTTAAATCTACCAAACAGAAAGGCACATCTACAATACAATTCTTTGACAACAAAAAATAAAAAAAGATCCAAGTTTTCAAGACCAGAGTGACCATTTAGCCCAAGGGTTTGGAAGGCCAAATGAAGTCAATGCCCCACCTTTGGACAATCAGACTGTCAGAGCTCAAGTCAACAAAGGGGAAAAAACAAGTCAACAAAGGGGAAAAAAAGCAATGAGGCGAAAGTTCTCTGTGCTGTCACTGTGACCACCGATATGCATTGCTGTCAGGACAAAGCAGAGGCTGCTAATGACTGTGTGTTTGCAAACCTGCCTCTCCAGTTACGGATAAGAAAGCAACGGGCATGCAACAGGTGCAGGTAAACTGTCATAAGCTAATTATATTACACTAAATGATGTGGTGAAGCATGTCTCTGTCTACAGAATGTAAAGCTGTTTATCTGAAGAAATTGTATACAACTTTTAGTTGTTTCTAGCATTTGTACAGAACAACTTTGATCTGTCACTGATTTATTTTTTTTGCCTTTTTAATTTATACTGCAAAGCAAATGGAACTGCTCCATTGTTGCTTATATTTACTCGGATAATTAATAAAACCATTCTTAGTCCTCGTTTCATGCATATCTGTTGCAATATTTACCAAAAAAACAAATTGCCACCCTAGGATTTTCCCAAACATGTTCGGTACACATGTGGTCCCAAAAATGCTAATGTTTGTAGTGTCATAAAAAGAAGGACAATTATTTTTGGGCAAACATTATATGGCCAGTAGCTGCAAATGTGCAAGTGACCAAATTTCGACTGGTTTCATGAACAGATATGCAAAAGCGACAGATATTCATCCATTTTTTGGACTGCAAGTAGTAATAAGCAACCAACGTCATGCATGATGAGGACGAACGTGTGTTACCTGCGAAGGTGGTCATGACGACCTCGTAGAGCTCGCCGGCGGCGACCTCCGTGAGGCCGACGGGCTCCGCCTCGGCGTAGCCGCCGTCGCCGGCGACGGGCTTGAGGGGGATGAACTCGAAGTAGGCGATGTCGGGGAGCACGGTGAAGGTGGCGCGCTCCGGCGGCGTCCCGGGCTCGACGTTGGCGCCGACCCACCCCTCGGAGGCGCCGTACTCGGCGGCGACGAGCGGCAGGCCGCCGGCGTAGTGGCGGAGCTTCTTGACGTAGTGCTCCATGGACCCCGTCATGATGCCGTACACGTACCTGGCGTTGGGCCACAGCGCCGGGATGACGCCGTACCAGTTGCTCAGGGCGGCGCACTTGCGGGCGACCTCGTCGGCGAGGCCCGGGTTGGGCGCGGCGAGGAGCGCCGCCATGGCGCGGCGGACGGCCGGCGAGGTGACCCGCGACGGCGACACCTCGCCGCGGCGGATGTCGGCGCAGAGGTCCTCCCAGGCGCGCTCGAACGTCTGGAACGCGAGGACGACGCTGTGGGCGAAGGTGGCGGACACGATCTGCACGTCGCCGGCGGCGAGGAGGCCGGCGAGGAGGTGGCAGTAGAGCGACTGCGCGAAGTCCGGGCCGAAGATCACCTCGTCGGGGCTGCAGCACTGCGACTGGATGTCCCTCATCGTCGCCTTGAACTCCTCGCTCCGGTACACGTTCGTCGTCGCCGTCGTCGCCGTAAGCCCCCCCTTCGTCCTCGTCTCCCTGCTGCTGTAGATGAACTGCAGCGCCTTCCCGTTCTCCACCGGAAACTCCCTGATCAATTTCACCGCCATTAATTTCCAAGAATTGAGACCTCACTGTCACTGATCGATCGATCGAGATCGAGCACTGTGTTGTTAGTACGTGTCGTACGTATGAAAGAAAAAGGGAGAGAGAGAGAGAGAGAGGCAGGCTGTCCATGGCGGACAGCGACGCCGGGGAGGATGGCGAAAGAGACAGCGATCGAGCTCGCCGGCGGCGATGGCGTACCTGTTCCGGAACGCGTAGGAGATCCGGTATATCTGCATCGTGGACTTGACGAGCTCCTCGTTGAATAGCAGGTACTTGCGCTTCCCCTGCGTCGTGCCGGAGCTGCATGCACCGGCGGTGAGGTGATCCCCGCCATGGTCAGCGACGTTCTCGATCGAGGTCAAAGAGCAGCAAGCGGCGGCGGGCGGGGACACTGACCTGAGGGAGATGGAGGTGGCGGGCTTGGCGGTGAGGACGGGGGAGGCGTCGCCGTCGGCGATGCGGTCAATGTAGGGCTCGAGGTCGGCGTGGGTGGCGAGCGGGACGCGCGCGCGGAAGGTGGCCGGGTCGGTGGCGCCGGCGAGGCCCAGCCCCCGGAGGTACTCGACGCCGCCGTTCTCGGCGAGGATCCGCCGCAGCGTCTCCCGCTGCACATTGGCCGCGTCGCGCGTCACCCGCTCGAACTCCTCGATCACCGCCTCGCCGCTCACCCCATCCACCCTAGTACTCCTCGTCGCCTTCTTCTCCAACATCTCGCCGCCACCACCAACAAACCTGCACGATCGACCAACATAAAACAAAAACAAAATTGAATTCAGAAGCGGCAGTAATGGAGACAAATACAAGAACGAAACAAACTTTTTTTTGTTTTTTTTTCTTGGGGGGAGAAACAAAGTACACCGAAGAGCGGCAAAGGGAAGAAGAAGAAGAAGAAGAGAAAGAGGAACAGGACACCAGAAAACAGCCCGTGAACTGAAGCCAAAAAAGAAAAAAAAACAACAACAACAGCAGCAGCGAGATTAACAGCAACAGCTAGCGCTGAGATTAATTTTCAGGAGATTGTTCGGAGCACAGGGAGAGGCAGAGGAGACACAAAACCAATCACAAAGAATTCAGAGAGAAGAACAGAGAGAGAGAGAGAGAGAGATCACGGGCAGCCCAAGAACAGAGCAAGAGACGACGGCGGAACAGACAAAGGCACGCCGGCCTGACCTCTCAGCGCGTCGTGACCGTCGTCGCGTCGTCGCCGGCGCGGCGCAGCAATGGAGGAGGAGACGTGGTGTGGTGCGGTGTGAGGAGCACGGCGAGGAGGAGGAGGAGGGAGGAGGCGTCCGGGAGCATTTATACACGCGGCAGCCAAAATCCGCGAGCTCCTGTGAGATTAAAGAAAAAAACGCTTCCTTTTTCTCGAAAAAACGCTTCTTTTTTTTTTTTTTGTTTTTCTCTCGAAGTCGAAGAGGAGGGCAAAGAGGACGAGACAAAAGCTGTTGCCGTAGTCGCTGATGCAGTGCACCGTTCGGTGCTGCGCTGCTGTCCTCCGCTCTGCTGATTCTCCAGTAAAATTGGGATTATTTTACCGTCTTACGTGTAAAAAAAAAAGAGAGAATGAAGTACTCACTTCGTCCCATTTTAAGTACAGGTATAATTTTTCGTGCACAATTTTAACCGTTCGTCTTATTTAAAAATAAATTTAAAAAAAATAAAAAGCATAAGTCACGTATAAAGTAATGTTCATGTTTTATCATCTTATAATAATAAAAATTAATAATTATAAAAAAAAATTAAATAAGACGGATGATTAAAGTTAGGCGTGGAAACTTACGATTGCACTTAAAATGGGAAGGGGAGAGTAAATGATCTTGATTAACTGTCTATACGTGCAAAATGGGAATGAAGTAAATGGTTTTGAAAATCCACCGTGTAATGACAGATGGAGCTAGCAAATACCTTTCCTGATCATAAGGGGCGCTCTAAATGATCAATGCTCCAGGTTGGTTTTACCTGCTGGGAATGATAATTGTGTGCCACATTAGAAATGTGTTTTTATGATTTACCATTTGTTCGATGGTTTGTAGTTGGCAGAATTATTTGGTGATGAACTGGGGTTTTGGTAGTGGGGCTGTGGGGGGTTGAAGAGCTGTGACCACTCTAGTCTCGCAAATAATCTGGTTCTTCTTGTGGATAACAGCTATACTCATGTTGGATTGTATTGTGGGGAATGAGAAGATGTTACAACCAAGCACATGGGTTGTGTAAATGTGTCATGTGTTTTACCCTGGTCTCTCTAATCCCACGGAAAGTCTTTTATCCTTATATATATACATATGATACATGGGAAAAATGCATGAACAATGCCACCCTTTGCATGTGTCATGTGCTTACTCTATCCAGTCTACTTCATCTTTTGTCATATTGCCGGGCTTGCTGCTCTCGGACGTCTTCTGTTATTTCACGTCTCGAACTGCGTTAGACATGATACCTGGTATGGGCACGCTGGATCAACTACTTTAATAGAATGACTTGCGATAGACACACATTTAATATGGGATGACTAGACTCCCAGGTGCATCTTACGCCCTTCGCGCATATCTTGGTTGAGGGGTTCATGGAGCCAACCAGCCTCTGACCAGAAGGGCGGCCATGGGATTTCACGTGGTCTTCCTGGTTTTGGCTGGTCGTGGTCGTGGTTGGACCTCGTTATGGGCCCACTACTAGTGACCACGGATATTAACTGAGACCACTTCCATTAACCATTTCAAGGATTTAACGAGTCATGCCCACTTCAAGAGAAATAGGAGGTGCATCGGGAAATGCCCGTGACTGGATATGTGTGTTTTTTTAAGGAAACCATGGATGTGTTAGTTCATGTTGAGTGACTGAATGACCAAATACAATAATAATTTATAATGATTATTCAAGGGTATAGAGGAATCAATTAACTATTATAAATGTTGAAAACTTGTTCAAAATAGCATTCTAAGAAATTCATATGTAGAAAACTTTTTTAAAAATTTGTACCGTTTAGCAGTTAAGGAGCTTCTTAACTTATGTGGACAGAACGAAGGTGAAAAGGAACACGCATGCAGGATAAATTCTAAAGACCTAACTTATGTGGGGTTTACACGGCTACTCTTTCCACTTGTTCATGCAGCCTAATGCACTATGGAAATTAAGCGAGATATATCGATCCATATCGGTGCTTATCCCTTTTCTGCTGTCATGCTCTGTTCGTTGATGGGGAATGGATTGGGGGGTCTCAATTCAGACGTGATTGGCTGGTATTTATGATGCCGTCGTAAGCTAGTGGACAGCAATGTTGTGATGATCTCGACATCACAGGGTGCTAATTAATCAACCAAGGATAAGGCCAAACGAGATGTTACACCCGACGACACACTCAAAAAAATCCAGTGACTGCAGGGTCAACTGACGATATTTACTGTGCCATATCTGTGCCTGTCAAGTGTTAACTATATACTCAATCGGAGGTCATAAGATGTTTTTACTTTGGTCAAAATTAAACTGCTTTAAGTTTAATTAAATTTATAGACAAATATAGTAATATTTACATTACCAAATTAGTTTTGTTAAATTAATAATTAAATATATTTTTATAATAAAGTTATATTAGATCGAAAATATTACTATTTTTTCTATAAACTTGGTCAAATTTAAAGCAATTTGACTTTGACTAAAGTTAAAATATTTTATAACCTGAAATGGAGGGAGTAGTAGTTTATGGATGGGTTAAATTAAAGAAACATGTTTGGAATTAACCGACCTAACCGAGTTTAACTTTGGGGGTTAGCTTAGCTCTCTGCACCTCCCCGGAAGAAAAAGTGAGTAAAAAGTTACTCTCTCAGGTCAATTTTATTTGACATTATAAGAACTGGGTTTAGAATCTTCAGATCTCCCAACGTCAAATATTGTTGACTAGAGGGAGCAAAACCGACGGTTTTGATCCAGTTCGATCGAAAGTCAAATCTGGCGATGAACGGTCCTAACACCGACAACCAAACCGGGTTCTTGTGTTACAAGTTGTAATAAATTTGTTTTTAGAAATGAAAGATAATCAAGAGAAATCCAAAGATGTGGTCAAAATACATGTAAATGGTAAATAATACTAATAAGAGCTGGAACATGTCCTAACCACCGGTGGGCCTAGGGCCAGTGACATTAGATAACCACCTAAGCTCATTGGCTCACCATAGTGGAGTAGGCACATTACGCAGCTAGTGTTTGGTGATACCCAACAAATTAGCTTTGCAATCTACTGTGTGTTTTAACCAAGACAAATATTTTCAATCCACCACACCATGTGATCAGTTGGTCAGTATGATTAGTGAATCATGATTGATCTCATGTCAACCATGTTTGTTTTCCTAGTGCACAAACTATATACTAGATCACACAAGTAGTAAAGCTTTTTAGTGTAGAATATTGATGGTAGCAGTGAAAAGAGACAGAGGAATGTTTGGGCTCAATGAGCCATGGCGATTTTTTTAATGCGTTCTATCCTCTCTCTCTTTTTTTTTTAAGATTTGGAGACCTAATTAAGCTCCTGCTCTTTAACCATTAACCAACTTGCCAAGTGACTTCTGGTTGGTACTAAAGGCCCAGTCAACATACAGCGTATGTATCAACAACAAAGACGCATACACATACCCCCACCAACTTGGCAACTTGCTCATGTTTTCCATAACTGTGATGGTTAGAATGCAATAGTCACTACAGTTACATGTTGAATCCAACTTATATAAGTTACACTTGTCAGCTATAGAGCCACCTCCTTAGCTTTGGGTGTGATTGTGGGCAAGGTGGTCAGAATCAGGATATATACTGGGTATGATATTTTTGTTTTCTTAGTAGCATTTTTTTAGAATTTTTTAGCTGGTAATATTGAACCGTAGAATCAGATTGTAGGATCGAAATTCTATCAGATTTTGTAAAGTACATATTTTTAGATAAGATATGTAATACATCGTAAAAACTAAAACCTAAAAGGTTGAATACTTTTTTATAAATTTAGTTGACATTTAAAACTTGACTAGAGTTATCAATATTATTTTCAATCCACTTTAGTTTTAAATAATACTTACGTAGGATCTATATAATATGGTACCGATCTCGTAGGATCGTATCGAACCTTTTACGTAGGATCAGGATAACATAAAAATTTAAGATACATGATTTTTTTTAGATAATAAAATATAATATCCCGGCTTTTACTCAAAAGAGCTACAGCCAATTATTATGTAGTAGCTTTCAAGAACATAGTGTAAATCTAAATGAATAGAACACACCATAGAGAAAAACAAAGAAACCAGCCTAACGTAAGAAGATCGCAATTATTGAAGTCTATTTGTAAATCTCCAGCCATAATTGCCAAAAGGTTGCATAACCATAGTCTCCAACTTACATGCAACTTTCAGAAACTCTTCATCTTCATCACACCTTTGTAGTTGTGCCAAAACCGGAGCCAATGAGTTGCCCTGAAAATGACCTGCATATAAGAAAATGATGGTGATTTGTCAAAAACCATATCATTCCTACTCAGCCATATTGCCCAATAAATGGCAGAAGCTCCAACAAGTATCAGTTTACTCATTTTCTTATCAACTCCCACAAACCACCTATTGAAAATATGAGATATGCTAACTGGAAGATTAAAACCAAAAGAGAACTGAACTGCTCTCCATAGGAACTTCGCAATATGACAATCCATAAAGAGATGTTAGAATAGACTCATTCTTCAAACAAAAATAACACCTCAAGCTGCCATTCCAGTTATGCATTGCCAAATTATTCTTAGTTAACACAACTCCTTTAAACAAGTACCACATGAAAATTTTAATCTTAAGTGGCAACTTAAGCTTCCAAATACACTTATTTCTCTCGATATAGCTATTATTAATTAAAGCTAGGTACATAGACCTCACCGAGAACAAACCATTCTGATGGAAATTCTATCTAAAACTATCAGACGAATCATTCAACTGAATATCTACTATAGAGGCACATAATTCATGCCAACAAACAAGATTCTGACCAACTAAAATTCTCCTGAAAGAAACATTAAGCGGAACAGATCCCATAACAGTGACAATAGAAGATGTTTTCCTTCGAACAATTGCATACAAAGATGGATATTTATCCATAAAAGCCAAGTTACCAATCCATTTATCTTCCCAAAATCTAATTTGTTCCCCATTATTGACAATCCAAGAACCCATATTTAAGAAAGTACTTTTGACATTCATAAGACCAGACCAAAAATGGGAATCACCTTATTTCTTGTCAACTTGAGTTATAGATTTATTATAAAGATATTTCATCTTCAATAAATCATGCCAAACCCCTTCCTCATTAATTAACTTAAACAACCATTTACTTAAAAAACATTTATGTTATATCTCCAAATTA